CCAGTGCTGCCTGCCAGCTAGCTGTGCTTGGTGCGTGGCCTGCGATGGTGCCTAGCACATACGCAAGGCGAGTGTTGCCTGCCAGCTAGCTGTGCTTGGTGTGTGGCCTGCGATGGTGCCTAGCACACACGCAAGGCCTGTGGTTCCTGCCAGCTTGCTGCGCTATGATGCACACGCACACGCACACACGCATGTGCCTAGCACTGCGATGGTGTTGTGCGTGGTGCTAGGGGGCTGCGATAGTGCCCACGCTTATGCACACACACATGGGTGCTGTGCTTGGTGCAATAGGGCTGCGATGGTGCCTAGCATCATGCTAGGGCTGCGATAGCGCCTAGGCATGATGCTAGGGATGCGATAGTGCCTAGCACACACATGGTGCGCCTAGGCTTGCGATGAGCTAGCCTAGCCTAGCTACGGCTACGCTCATACTTGTTGCTTGTGATTTTGCGACGCTCGGTCTCGACGCCCTAGGCTCGATATCCGACGTCTGTATTCGTAAAACTCTGCTGACTCATTAAATCCTTTCGGATTAATTCGTCGTCTCGGATCGGTGATTTGATTGGGTTTGACCCGAAGGGTTCAGTTAAGATTAAGTTGTAACATCAATTGTACATTGATATTATTGATCGGAAGCGGCCTCCACCTAGGCATTCCGATCACTTGACCTTACTGAAGAATTAGCTCCGTAATAATTCTGAACCCTCTGTTGGAAGAATAGACTTGTTGGAAGGACACCATTAACTAGCCCATTAAAACCCAAAAATAATCGGCTGAGCTGAAATTAGTCCTGCACATCAAGCTGCATCCTTCATCTACTCCACAAAAAATCAGCAGCCCCCCTACATCATCAAGCTGTGCTGAAGAAGAAAAACACATGGCAGAATTTGTTGATGCTGTGTTTTTCGATGTTTATCATATACTAAATGAAGAACACATGGCAGAATTGTGGTATGACCACGAAGAAGAAATGCAAGATGCAGGCATAGGGGACTATGAATCTGAAGATGAAAACATGCAAGACAACCAAGAAGGAGAACAAGGCCAATAAAACACATAAGCTGTGGTTACTTCCTCACAAATGCAACAACAACTTCATCAAGGGACTCAAGTGGCAGACGGAAAGCAACTGACCATGCACAAGAAAAGACAAATTGTTGATGCAATGTTGGTCAAAATGCATGAGGGAAGATTACCAAGGGGTCACATGAAACATTTATCATCTCAATTCAATGTTCACAAATCCACCATCACAAGAATCTTCACAGAAATAAAAATAAAAATAAATAAATAAATAAAAAACAGTTGGCAAAAGGGGACTTGATTGATGTCAGGACTAAGAAGTTTGGCAGAACAGGGAGAAAGCCATTGCAAATATCTGATGAAATTCTACAGGCAGTCCCTTTGCATTTAAGGCAGACAAAAAGGAGTTATGCAGGAGCACTGAAGATAAGTCATGTTACTGTTCACAATTTGAAGAAAAAGGGAAGGCTAAGAACACACACAAGCTGCAATAAGCCAGCACTGACATCAGATCATAAGGTAGCCAGACTCAGATGGATTTTGTGACATATAAATCCAATTACAGGTAATGAGGACCCCACATTTATTGACATGAAACATGTCATACACATAGATGAGAAGTGGTTTTATTTGAACCCTGATAAGAGGAGGTTTTATCTACTGCCAAGTGAGGAGGATCCATACATGGCAGTACAGTCAAAATGATTCAAGCTGAAGGCAATATTTATGGCAATTATTGGGAAGCCATGGTATGCCATAAATGGGGAACTCCTACATGGTGGGAAGTATGGCATATTCCCATTTACGGTCCAACAACTAGCACATAAATCAAGCAAAAAAAGACCCTAAGGAACTTTGGAAACAAAGGCACTCGAGAATGTAAACAGAGAAATGATTAGAGATATGTTGCTGAAAAGGTCATACCAACAATCATCTCAAAGTGGCCTGAAAGTCTGGCCAAAAATGCTGTCATCCAATAGGACAATGCAAGGCCTCACCAAGTTCCTAATGATGCAGAATTTATGGCAGCAACAACAGCAAATGGGTTCAACATTCAATTTGTTTTTCAGCCAGCATAGTCACCTGATTTGAATGTGCTTGATTTAGGGTTATTTAGGTCTATTTAATCTTTGCAATATCAGTCTTTTCCTAGAAACTTAGATGAGCTAGTTGAAAAAGTGAGAGACTCTTAAGACACATTCAATCCCCAAGTTAACAAGTACATCTGAGTAACTTTGCAAAAATGCATGATAAAGATCCTCAAGGCAGAAGGTGGGAACAAGTACAAAATACCCCACATGAATTAAAAAAAACTTGAAAATATTGGCATTCTACCAGATAAAGTAGTAGTGATGGAGGCTGTGGAGTACCTAAACACTATGTTTAGGCCAGCAAATCAAGGCAATGAAGAAGCAATAGAAGATATGGAGGTGGATGCAGACTAGGGGACTCATCACATCAATGAGACAACACATGGACTGCCACACATAACAACTTAGCTATGTTAATCTGTTTTTTTTTTTTTTACTCAGTTACCAGTTGGTTAGGTGTATTTTGTCAATTACAATGATTCAAGTATGTAAGGCAGTCTGTTGTAAAGTCTTTTGATGAAGGTGTGGTCCTTTTGTACCCACATTCAATTTGTATGTCATTGTATGTCATCCAAATCCACATGATGAAGGGACTCCAATGAATTTCACTAAACACATGTGTTTTGCTCCAACATTTTGCTTAATGCTCTTGTTGTTGAGGTAACCTTGTGACTTATCCATCAGAAGGTTTGTATGTCATTGTTGAATACAACAATAAGTCACAAGGTTACCTCAACAACAAGAGCATTAAGCAAAATGTTGGAGCAAAACACATGTGTTTAGTGAAATTCATTGGAGTCCCTTCATCATGTGGATTTGGATAAGGTAAACAACACACTACAATAGGGGACTCAATACAAATCAGGATACAAAAGAAAATCAAAGGGGACTCCTTTAAGAAATTTGTAAAACAGTAAGGGAGTGAGTAGCCAGTAATAAACAACAACAACACAGCAGCCTCATCATTCATCAATCAAATCCCCATAGCTAACATAATCCATCAAATTAATCAAAAACTAACAGATCCATCCAGTAAGGGACTAACTACCCAATAATCAACAACAATCACTAGGATAGGATGTAAAATCCAACAAGCCAGCATATTCCAACAAATCAGTCAAACACACCGCAACATACATAAAGCCAACTTAATCAAAAACAGCAAACACAGCCAACAGATACAACAACCTAACACAACCAGACAGCCAGCACTCTGAATATCAGAGAAATGAACTCAACAGAACCAAACATCCAATAATCCAACAGATCAGACAACAAGCCACCACAATCAGAAACCAGGGAAAACGTACAATAACCCAACACAATCAGACAACCAACAATCCGAGTATCAAAGAAATGAACTCAACAAACCCTAAAATCCAACAATCCAACATATCAGACAACAAGCCAACATAGCCAATAACCCACCAGATCAGAAATAAGCAACATAGCCATCAACCCACCAGATCAAATCAACATACTATCAAAGAAATCAAAGGAAATGGACTAAAAAAAATATTCAATTTAGGGTTAGGAATCGTTACGTAAGCAGTCAGTTGGAGGGTTGAACCCTTGGGTTCATCCGCCTCTCATAGTGCTGCAAAGGAGGGCCCTGCGCTTCACCATCTTCCAGTGGAGAGCAAGCCTTCTTAGGAGGAGGTGATGAAGCCTCCTCCTCTTCAGGCTCATCATCAGAGGACAGAACAACATACTCCACATCTGGCAACCCACGCATCCGCCTTCGAGCCACCAACGTCGCCTTCCTTCTAGCCCGAATCTTCATGGGTGGCCTAGCCCTCTTAGATCTGGCCTTTTTTGTGGCCACGGAACTCCCCTCACCACTGTCACAGACCGGATCTACAGGTACAAAACTAAAATCAAGCGATTTCTTGCCACGGGACTCCCCCTAATGACCCTCAGCCTTCTTCAGACGCTCCTCCTCCTCACAACTTTCAAGCACCTTACCCAGAGCCTTGTAGGTGGTGGACGTACATTAAGGGCCAACCTCACCAGACTCGTAGAATTGCCGAGGAAACGGAGATCCGGTTTCAAAGGATTGAATAAGGGACACAATCAAATTACCCTCACCGACGTCGTCGATGGCCATGAAAGCTTCGTGAAGTGGATCAAGGTTCACCATGTTGTAGGTGGGGACTCGTTTTTGGAAAGATCTGATGTCTGAATGTCAGATCTAGGAAGAAATGTTGGAGAAAAATAGCGACGAACAGGAGAGAGGAAAACGAAGAAGATGAACTAGGGTTCATCTCAGGAAGTCTCCAGAACATAAAGGGAAGCCCAGCCATCAGAAATTAATTTTTGGTGGTTGGGAATATGAGTAATGAGAGGAGTTGGGGGAATTGGGAAAATAAATGGAGGGAGTCATTAGATTAGGTTAATTTGATTAAGTTTAGATTCATTTGATTAAAGTAAGATAAGGGTAATTTTAAGAAAATCTGAATTTTTAAGTAAGGGTAAATTTGTAATTTTCAGGGTTTTTGTTTACTAAAAATAGAAAGAAAATAGAAAATTGCACATAATGGTTAGCGGACTAAAATGACAAAAGTTGCACATAAAAATAAACGGATGTAGTATATATATATAATGAGAACCTTCTCTATAATAGGAACTAGGAACTCATCTCAACCGTTAGATTGAAACAAAATAGGCGGTTGTGATTAATTCAGACGAACTAAATTAATTTCACAAAAATCAAACGCTCGTTTCTCTCTCCTCTTTCTCTCTCTTCTTTCACATTGACGCCGTTTTCTCTCTGTTAAAGCATTTTTCAAGCTTCCTAAACTCAGTCATCAGCTCGAATAATATGAATTTGCTACAAATTACACACTTTTCTTCAATAATTTGCTGAATTCGTTGTGCAATTTCTTAATGATAGAGGTAAGCATTATTAATTGGGTATAATTCGATTCTTAGGGTTTTTTTTTCATACAATAATTAGATTGTATAGATATAAATCTAATTTTGCTGCAAAATCGCAAAATATTATGTGAATTTATTGTTCTAACTATTTTTTGTGTGACTTTGGCTGTTTTTGATGAGTATTATGGAGATGTATTTTTTATGAAATGATTCATGAGTGAATTTTATCTGATTTTTGAGTAATTTTTAGCATTTTTTTTTTCTTTTTTGTTAATATTGGATGAAGTTGTGTGAATTTTCTGATATTTTGTGTATGAGTTTGTGCGAATTATGAAAATTATTGCAAACTAAATTTGATTTGAGATGCTGCTAGCAGCTCTGCTGTTGTTGTACAGGTTGTTGCGGTGACAAATGCTTGTGGGTTGATGTGTGCTGGTGTTGTGGTATGGTGTAGGTTTTGTTAGGGCTGGTGTTGTGGTATGGTGTAGGAATAAGTCAGAATTTTATCTCAATTTTATGTCCTTTGTGCATCAATTTCATTATTCGTCTTGAGATCTTCTTTTGAGATATGTGATAATACATTTTATAAGCTATAAATTATGTTTACATTGATGTTGTGTGATTGGTAATGCTACCAGGCGAAAGTGGACAGTTATTCCAAGAATTCTTTGGTTAAATATGAAATGCAGTGAGGACTTATAGTTGATTTAGTTGTGGTTTTTGAAGCATAATTATGTATCTGTCCTTAGTTGATGTATATGCAATTTGATGAATCTGTTAGTTTCATACCTGGTCTTTGTCTCTTGAAATCAGAAGCTGGGATTTGCATAATAGAACTGTAAATTAACAAAAGCTATTAGGTTCTGTAAAACTAGTTTACAGGTGCAGTACATAACAAATTAGATAAAAGAAAACAATCAGATGAACAGCTTGGCAGCACATAACAATATTCTAAGCTATAAAACTGATATTTGAGGTCTTTGAACAGCTTGGCTATTTGAATAACCAATAATGATCCGAAACCCCAAGTGATTATACATATACTTTATAGGTTATTTTATTAACTTTTCCGATAGTTTGGTTTACTTTTGAGTTATTTTTCTTTACTATGAATGTATTATATACACTAGCTTACTATCTGCATTATAAAAGAAAACAATCAGACTATAAAGTTGAATCAGGGTGATTTACTACCTCGTGTATGGTATAGTTTAAACTCTAGCTGCATTCTATTATTTGATAGTCTTATCCTCTTAAAGTAGATACAAATTTTATAAAAGTAAACTAATTGAATTCAAAAGTAAAAGCTCAATCAAATGCTAAATATAAAATCTCGAGTTTGTGCTAATTGGTGCTAAAGGATTTTGATGTGAAAGTTGAGGATGTGATCAATAGAGCTATGGATTTGGTTGGTGAATATGAAAAAGCTAAGTTTTAGATCTGGTGTTTCACTAGTTTTACTTTTGGTTTTTTTTTTTATCAGATCACTTTGTTGATCTTCGTGTTGTTGCTTATCGTGCTGCATTCTTGTCGGGTATCTTTTTTTGTCCGTCCTTGTTGCTGCACCTGAGTCAAGCTCAGTTGCTAATACTTGCAAGACTTGGCATCTGCCTGACTTTGGCTTCTATAAAATCAATACTAATGCAGCTATTTTCAATGATAATTTGATTGGCTTTGGAGGTATTGTGCATAACAGTGAGGGTGACATTATGGCTTCTACTTGTTGTTTGATGAAAGTTAATGTAGATTCTTATAGTAGTAGTCTAAAGTAAATAAAAAAGTATTTAAAGTGAATAAAAAAGAGTCTAAAGTAAACCTATTAGCTCAAGTGGTAGAGCACTATGCGGATGCATAGAGATGTAGGTTCGATTCCTACATAGGTTACCTCTAAAAGTAAATACAAAGCATTTTAAAGTAATTCAAAACATCTCAAATGTATATCGAAATAGCTAGCTAAAAAGTAAATCAAAAGTAAATTTTATTTACTTAAAAGTAAATAGTATTTACTCAAAAGTAAATAATATTAACTCAAAACTAAATAGTATTTACTTAAAAGTAAATTATATCTACTCACAACTATTCAGTCTAGGGTGCACATTGCTATAAAAAAAAAAAAAGCAGGGTATTAGTTTACGAACATGTTTATATCTTTAATCCTTAGATAAGTGACTTTGAGTTTCTAGTAATAAAAGTAGATACAAAATAAGTTAAAGTAAATAAAATATTTATTAAAGTAAATAGAAATGAAATTCACCTTCTCTACTTCTAAAATAAGGAAATTGCTATGAAGAAACCCACCAAAGGGGAATTATATTAATAGCTCATTAGCAGCAATGTTAAGATATGAGTCGGGATTAGGTTATTTCTAAAAGTAAATATAAAACACTCTAAAGTAATTCAAAATATCTCAAAAGTTGATCAAATAACTAAAAAGTTAATCAAATTAGCTCTAGAGTATACAACCAATTAATTGGCTTTTAATGATTAGTGAGTATGGAAACTTTATTATAGCACACTAACTCGGAGTCATTGACTTTAATATCCTTACTAGAGCAGTCAATTTATAAGAAAGAAGTATAGGTAGCTCAACGTAAAATACTCTAAAGTTATTCAAATTATATTAAAAGTAAATCAAATCAACTAAAAAGTAAAACAAATTAGCTCTAAAGTATATGAATATCTTAATACATTTTGTTGGTTTCTCAAGGTGTATACAGATGCGGGGATCATGGAAGTGGCCCAAGGGGTTTGGATTGTGATTGAATTTCATATCCTTACAAGATGAGCCAAGTTATATGAAAGAGGTATATAGAGATAAATGTAAATGCTTTCAAATCAAAAGTAAGTCAAATTAACTAAAATGTATATCAAATCCAAGACTGCTACCGCCACTTCAGCAGCAATTGCGGATGGTTTTGTTGCTGCTTCCTCCTTTGCTCCTGCCATTGCTTCAACTTATTCCAGTTCCTGCAGAAAAGTAGAGTGCAAGCATCGTTCAAAAGTAAATCAAATTAACTAAAATCTATATCAAATCAACTAAAAAGTAAATCAAATTAACTCTAAAGTATACAAACAATAAATTAGTTTGAAATGATTAATGAACCTTCAATACAAAGCCTAGTCTTTGAATTACACAAATAAACCTACGTGGGATTCGAACCCACATCTTTTGTGCAATTGCACAATGCTCTACCTTGTTGAGCTAGTAGGCTAATGAAAAGTAATAAAAAAAATTACTCAAAAGTAAATAAAAAAAATTTAGCTAGTATATCAAACATTTGTAATAGATTAATATTACTTAAAAGTAAATCAATAGATATCTAAAGTAAATAAACCAATCTATAAAGTATAAGACATGGATGCTAATGCAGTCATCTAAAACTCCCCCAATTTTAATTTGCTTAAATAGTTTGATGATCATGGTATGTACTCTGTAAGTAAGTAGCTCTTGATGGACATTTCACGCATAAGAGTAGTTGCTTTTTGGGTTTCTGATACACAAAGTCCAGCAAATGTTTTATTTGTCTTAAGAGGGGTAGACAAACTAATCATACAATCACTTTACAATTGCATCAAATTTCACACTCATAACCCATAGATCCTAATTCCAGGCTAATGAGATAACCCGGACCAGGAGGATAATGAATAATAGCTTTGCGAACGCAGCAGCCTCAAATATTAGCTTGATCTGAAAGATAATGATAGCACGGACACAATATAAAATAAGTTCCTTGGACATAAAGGAGCATAGTCGAGAGAATGATTTCCATTATTCGATAGTCCAACAAATGACCAACAAAAAATTACTCAGTAAGAACTAAGAAGTGATAGAAAAACTAAGAAGTAACATCAGACAAAGAAAAATCATACTTTTCAACTTCCAATTACATAGCCGTATACTCAATATATACCTGGTAAATAATTAGATGGCCCTAAGCATTTGCAAAAGTTAACAAGGATCAATTTGCCATAATGAATCACTTCAGCAAAACAAAAGTCTTCACTTCAACACCAAGCCCATATGCACGATAAAGCCTATACTACAAGCTACTTCTCCTAGGCCACCAATCTTCTAGAGCTTTTTAACATTCGTTTGCAGAAAACTTTCAGCAATTGAAATCGAAATAATCAAACAAAAAAACTATAATTTCAACAATCAAAATTGCAAATATGCAAACATTTCATTGCAAAATCCCTAAATTATCAATTATAAACCAAACAATTATGAAAACCCTGATTTCCAATCGAATCGCAAAAAACGCCTTGATTAAAAATAAAATTAAATTAAAGATAACAACAATAATTATAATCCAATTTCCACATTATAATATCAGAAAAACGTAAGTTAAAAAATTCGATTATTGTCAGTGGTAACAAATCCAAAAATATTCACATAAAAAAAGTCCTAATTCGAAACAAAACTCATAAAATACATCAAATTCAAACAAAAACTAAATCAACAAAACTCTAATTCGAAGAAATCAACCAAATAGCTTACTTTGCGATGAATATCCGAGATTAACAACTGGAGAAACTACGCACCGTCAAAGAAGAAATCGCAGAGGATTGGAGAAGAAATATCACAGAGTGCTGAGAGAGAAGCGTAGGATAAGAGAGAGAAAGTAAAAAGAAGAAATAGAAAAGAACTGAAAATTTACAGAAACGCCCTTAATGAAGCGGGCGAACTCTCATCCATTAGATTAAACAGAATCGACGGCCGAGATGAGTTCTTAGTTCTCATTATTCACCATGGCTCTCACGTGATTTCAATTATATATATATATATATATAGGGTCGGGATCCGGTGAGAACCACCCCTTATGTGAGGACACTCCTAATATATGATAACAAATCTAAGCCTTAGGATCAAACAATATCAACAGCTCTAATAAATCCAAACTTTTCATATCAAACATAACAAACGATAGCTGCTACTCAGAAAAACAAAGCAAAGAACTATGAGCTTCAATTTAAGTGAGATTCAAGAATTTCGAACATTATTCTGTTCGATTTTTGTCAGATTTCAGCAGCAACAAGAATCAACAAGCTTCATAGATTATACTGGTAAATAATCAACAAAAGTGTTAGTGTTTTCCGAATGTATTTTTCTTAATTTTTGCTAGTATTTTCGAATTTCATGGTTTGAATGTTGGATTTTCATTAAAATTATACGAATGAGTGATCTTAGCATCAAAATTTACAAAATATATAACTCGCAAATTTGAGTATTTCAAATTGTTAGTATTTTTCAATTGCATGTTAGTGTTTTTCAATTGCATGTTAATCTTAGTGTTTGAGGATTTGAAATTGTTCAGTTCAAATTATTTTCGTTAATTGCATGTTAATTGCATGATAATTTTCGATTTTTGAGGTTTGTTCTGTTCTCATTGAATTACATGTTTAATTGCATCAATCGCCAGTTATTGAATTGCATGATAATTTTTTATTTTTAAGGTTTGTTCTATTCTCATTTAATTGCATGTTTAATTGCATCAATTATTGATTTGATTGAATTTACTTCTTTGAAATTTTTTGAATTAAATCAATAATTTAGGTTTGATTAATTTGATAGAGATTGAAAATTTGCAATCAAATTTAAAATGAGCAAATGAATTGAAAATGAGCAAACCTAAATATTTGTAATAATATAAAAAAAAATATAATGAGCAAACATAATTAAAATGAGCAAACAAAAAAAAAAGAGCAAATGAGCAAAATAGGTTGGTAATGGTGGTGGTGGTGGTAGGGTGCAGGGGACATGGGCAGCGGCGGGGGAGTGAGAGTGAGACAGGTTGTGGTGGTGATAGTAGTGGTGGTAAGGTGCAGGGACAGGGGCACAAGAAGGAGAGAGAGTTTGGTGGTGGTGGTGATTGTACGGTGTAAGGAAGAGGGTGAGAAATGGCATTCAGCTCATTAACATAAGTTGCAGAAGCAGTGAAAGTGAAAGAGGTAGCTGTAGCTAATGAGCAAATATTTAGTTGCTCATTTGTAAAATGAGCAAATACTTAGTTGCTAATTTCACAAATGAGCATTGAATTATTTGCTCATTTGACAAATAAGCATTTAATTATTTGCTCATTTGACAAAAGATCAAAGAATTGTTTGTTTATTTAAAAAATGAGCATTGAGTTCCTTAGTGTGCTTGCCTGTGCACAAGCCGCACCCCCTTCTTCTTGGTTTGTTTCCTTCATACCAACCACACTCCCTTCTTCCACTTCCCTGCACAAATCTATCCCCCCTGCCCCTTCATCTTTCTGCCTGCAATTCTGATTTCAGAAATTGTTGTTGTTGTGTGTGTGTGTGTGTGTGTGAGTGAATGTAAGAGTGTATGTATAAGTGTGTGTGTTTGCTTCTGGCCGTGTACATTCTTATTTAAGAATCTGATTTCAGTTCTAATTATTGAGAGTCTGTGTGTAAGTATGTTTAAGGGGGTGCATATTCACTTGTTACTATTTTGTGGAATTATTAATGACTTGTTATTTCTATTATATTTAATGTCAGAAATGATGAGCAACAACGAACAACTTGGCAGTCATTCTAGTACCATCACAAATGTGCCAACTACTCCTACAATAGTAGTTTCTCCTAAAGTAGCACCTTTGCTCACTCCTGGAGGAACAAAAGAATGGCTTCCAATATGCCCCAATGAGTTGAAACCAGCTATAGAGATGAAGTTTAATAATCTTGAAGAGGGCCTTGAATTTTATAAAAGTCTACAACTAAAAGACAAAGAAGAAGCAAAGAGTTGAAATCACAATATATCTTATGCAGTAAGGAAGGATACAAAGAGAAAAGAAAGGCTACTGTTGAAAAATATTTAAATAACAAGGAAGGAGAAAGCAATGAAGAAAAAGCTTCAATCAAAAGGAAGAGACTTGTTACACGTGTTGGGTGTAAGGCACATATTGTCATAAAGCATTGTGTGATAACAAATTCATAGTGTCACAGTTTCATGAGGGACATACGCATGCACTTTATACACCTAGTTGCAATCTCTTCCAAAAAGAAGGAAGGAAAATGAACATATTGCACAAAAAAATAATTGTGAATAATTCTAAGGTAACACTTTTATAGTCTGTTATGTTTCATGAATAATCTATATGTTCTAATAAAAGTTGTTTGCTCATTTGACAAATGAGCAAATAATTATTTTCTCATTTGAAAATTGAGCATTATATTGTTTGTTCATTTGAAAAACAACCATTAAATTGTTTCCTCATTTTAAAAAGGAGCATTAAATTGTTGAGCATTGAATTATTTGTTCATTTGACAATCTGTTTTGTACTTTAAATAGGTGAATATTGGTCCCGTTACAACTTTTCGAATGATGAAGGAAATTGTTGGAGGTTATGATAACATTGATGCATCTTAGCATGATTTTAAAAAATTTCATAGAGATTTAAAGGCATACATTCAAGGAAGTGATGCTCAAATGTTTGTGGATAACTTTACCAACAAAAAGCTAATGTGGAGCGCTTTTTTCTTTGATTTTGAGATGGATGAAGATTATTGCCTTTATAGAGCATTGTGGGCAGATCCCCTTTGTAAAAAGAGTTATGCTCTATTTGGTGATATGGTATCCTTTGATACCACATACCAAACCAACAGGTAATACATAACAATCACAATTCATTTTTATGTTATAACCACGGCTTAACTTAATAACTTTATAAAATTGTTTGCTAATTTCAATGTGAAAAGTGAATATCGCCTTAAGTCTAATATTCTGTAATAAGAGTTTGTATGTGAGCATTGAATTGCATGTTCATTTAACAAATGAGCACTGAATTATTTGCTCATTTGACAAATAAGCAAAGAATTGTTTGCCTATTTCACAAATGAATGAGCATCGAGTTATTTGCTCATTTGACAAATGAGCAGTAAATTATTTGATCATATGTCAAATGAGCATTGAATTATTTGATCATTTAAAATTTAATCTGTATGTGTAAACAGATACAACATGATGTTTACTCCATTTACAAGGGTTGACCATCATAAGAGTTACATTACTTTTGCTGCTGGTTTCATAGCAAAGGAAGATATTGTGTCATTTGATTGGTTGTTCAGATCATTTCTCAAGGCAATGGGGGGGAATGAACCTAATTGTATGATCACGGATCAGGATCCAGCAATGAAAATAGCTGTTAAAAGTGTGTTTAACAAGACTGAACATCGGTTCTGTATGTGGCACATAATGAAAAAGTTACCAGATAAGGTGGAGAAATCAATCATGCAAGAAGAAACTGGTTTCCTAAAAAAAATATGTGCTTGCGTTTGGCATCTTGAAATTGAACCCGCTGAGTTTGAAGAAAGGTGGAACAAGGTGATGGTTGATTACCACTTGGAAGATCATGAGTGGTTAGGTTATATGTACAAGATAAGGGACAAGTGGATTCTGGCGTATTTCAGAGATGTGTTCCTTAGAGGAATAATGCGTACAACATCAAGATCTGAAAGCGAAAACAACTTTTTCTGCTCCTTTATCAATCCTCATGTGTCACTTGTTGAGTTTTACTTGAGATATGAAGCTGCAATTGATGCCCAGAGACACACTCAAGGTCAGAATTGTTTGGGGGTTTTTTTGATGTGTCCTGCGGGAGAGTTACAATTTCCTAGTATGCTCCTTCCTTCGCCTGTACCTGCACAAATAACGGAGACTCCTGATGGGGGGTGTGAGTTACGCCTCCGAAGATCAAGTTAGAATCTTCTTTAAAGAAGTATAAAGAACAATAAATACTTCTCGATTAGAGAGTGTTTTGCAATGGGTTTTGTGTTTGGTTGGTTGTTGGAATAGTTATCGATCCCCATAAATGAGTTCTGCCCCTACTATTTATAGTAGGGGAGAACTGCACCTCAATTAGGGTACAATGGACACGTGTCACAAAGGGATTGGGCCTTTGTTGACCGTTGCAAGCTTGACACGTGGCAAGCCTTTATAGGGCCACGTGTCTAGGGGTATTTTTTACCCTAAACATCTGCCCCTCATAGGTGTGACGTGGCATGGCCACGTGTCACCTGTGACAGGCGTCAGAAGTATGGGAGGTGACGGTTCGCCTACTTCCCTCCTTTTTTGAGTTTATTCAATTTTTAGGGCAGAAGGTGTCGATTCGCCTTCTGCCTCTCTCTTATAAATAGGAGACATCACCTCTCTCCTCCACACTTTACAAAATTTTCAAAAAAAATTTCTGAGAAAGCTCTGACACCTGCTGCTTAATTTCCTCAAGAATTTCGCATCCGGCGCTTGTAGATCAATCACATCCGGCTACCTATTGAGTATATTTTGCTCAGTTTCAACAAGGTATCGGCTGCCCTTTTCTCTTCAATTTTAACTTCTGATTTTAAGGATCTTGACTGACTTTCCCATCCGGGTTGCATGCCGCCTGGGGGGTCTTTAACCCATTTTCCAAGTATTGAATTCACTCCCTCAGCAGGCATAGCTCCGTCTGAGGGGTCTTCAACGCCGCCCCCTTTTTTTAAAAAAAAAAAAAAAAAACCATGCATTCAAAGTACCCCCACCCGGTGAAACACCGCCTGGGACCCTATTCATTGCTGTTTTGAAAACAGACTGAACCGATAAAATACCGGTTGGGATACCTTTCAATCTTTTTATTTTTTTTATTTTTTTTTATTTTTTTACAAGTGTTTTACATTACCCTCAGCCGGTTATGCACCGCCTGGGGTTTTCGAGAGCAACTTTGCTATCTTCTTCATAACCCCCCATCCGGTTTTACACCGCCTGGGGTATTGAGAGCAATTTTGCTATCTTTCTTCATAACCCCCCATCCGGTTTTACATCGCCTGGGGTATTTGAGAGCAATTTTGCTATCTTCTTCATAACCCCCATCCGGTTTTACACCGCCTAGGGTATTTGAGAGCAATTTTGCTATCTTCTTCATAACCCCCCATCCGGTTTTACACCGCCTGGGGTATTTGAGAGCAATTTTGCTATCTTCTTCATAACCCCCCATCCGGTTTTACACCGCTTGGGGTATTTGAGAGCAATTTTGCTATTTTGTTTCATAACACCCCATCCGGTGTCTTACCGCATGGGGTATTTCTGAACCCACCCACTGGATACCGTCTGGGGTATCTTGGAATGAACACACAAGTTGCTTAGTTGACTTCCTTCACAGACCCTCATCCGGTTGTAGACCGTCTGGGGTACTTCTGAACCCACCCACTGGATACCGTCTGGGGTATCATGGAGTGAACTTCACACATTGCCTAGTTAACTTTCTAAACAACCACGGGCGGCTAATTTGTATTCTTGTCTTTCAGCTTCAAACACATCCGGGTTATACCATTTGAGGCATCTTCAAGCAACTCCATCAAATATACTAAAGTTATAGCTTTCGTTATTGCTGTTCTTTTTTAAACTTCCCATTTCCCGGTTTGTGCAGTTTGTATAGATTAAATGGGGTCTTTCAAAACACACACGGTACAGCCTACGACTGCGGTCAGCCTGTCATTTGAGACGGTTGAGTCTAGGACTGGGGATGCCGTCTTGGGGTATTTCGATCACTCTTCATCTACCTCGAATTCGACCGTCTCTGTTCATGTGCAGGATAGAATGGCTCGGGCCAGATGGATGGCAACAGATCCCGATTACAAGTCTGACGACGCGACCGTCGACCCGACTGTACCCTTAAATGAAGACCAGGCTGAAGTGTCGTCTGATAGAACATCTCATGATGTACCGGGTACCCCCAGTACACCGGATGACGGCATCCTATATGATTCTGATTCAGCCGATGGGGAATCCGGCGAAGAGTCTGGCGAAGAGTCTTTAGAGGCAGCCGCTCCCATTAATGAGGAATCCTATAAATGGTCGGCTGCAGGCAACCCAACGGAGTTCAGTATGACTGCTAGAGATGTGGTCACTTTAACTGCCACATTCCCTGCTTTTTTGGAGAAGAAGCCGGTTGGAAAAGAATGAGAAATAGTTGTACCGCTTGTAGAGGCGACGGTTGTCTGGGAAGATGACCTTGAGCATGCCGATGACTATTTCGGCTGCTATGAGGCGGCATTCAAAGCCGGCCTCCGGTTCCCCATCCACCACTGTATTAAAGCCATCTTACGGGGGTATGATATGGGAGTTTAGCAGTTGACCCCCAACTCATGGGTCAACATTCTTAGATACATTGCCGCCTGCAAGATGCAGGAGGTCAAACCAAGCTGGGAAGCTTTTGCACACATGCATTATCTCAGCAGGGCGCCGGGTGGGTGGAATGCATGGTATACTCTAACCACGCACCCGGAATATATGATGACGTTGGACAAACCGTCCAAATGGAGTAGCTGGAAGAGCAAATTCTACGCCGTCTCTTCGCCATCTCCATAACTTAATCACCGGCTGCGTAGATACAATAAAAACCCAGCTCTACTTGGTAGGAAGTGCGCTCTCCCAAGAGTGCCAAGTGAGGCATGGGATCAGATCATGTAGAGGGGTCTCTTTAAGAAGACAACCCTCCGCCTGGATGATGGGAGCGAAATAATAGTTCCCCAATTTTGGGTGCCCCACCCGGACTGGTTCAAGGATGAGGCGTTTCTCTCCGCCTGTAACCTTAGCACCATGTTCCCTAGGATTAGGTTTTTATTATTCACCGGCCTTTGCCACCTGATATTGCCACTTTGTACTGCATTTTAACCATTCTTCTTTTGTTTCCGTAGAAGTAGCTATGGAGAAGCTACCCAAAGAGAAGACACCGGCTACCTCAGCCGTTCAGCTCCAGAAGAAGCAAATTGAGAAGAAAAAGTCGCAGCTGGCGGCTAAAGACGGCGGGGTAACATTTACTTCATCTACTTTACCAGTTTTAGCATTTGTATGCAATGTTGAGCTGGTTTTTGTATATTTTCAGGCTGGGAACAAAGTCGTTCCTCGCTCTTTGTCCAAGATGGTCAAGAGACCGGCGGGGGACATTCCTCTTCCAGCGGCAAAGGCACTAAAGATGCCGGTTCCTGCACCGTCTAAATCTTTTCCCAATCCGCCAACAGGAGGCAGGCCCACCACTGCAGGCAAGAGCCTTCGTGGAATAGTTCCCATCGCTAAAGTGGTGGATGAGGGTTTATAGGAGCCGGAGACTCCGGCTGGCCAGACTCAGACGGGTACTGGCTCAAACGCGGCAGGGGGTGATATTACCCCACAGTTCGATAAAGGTACGACTTTTGCCATTGATCCCCCCTGGCCGCTTGGGCCTATGTGAGTAAAGACCCAAGCTTGCCAATTCGGGAATTCTTCTGGCAGCCGTCAGAATATTGGCGCAGCGTATGCCCAACACCTGACAGATAAATCTCTCATTACAGATGCTACCTCCAGCCGGCCGAACTACCAACAGTACGCCAAAAGGATGATCCGGACCCTAACCTGGACCGAGAAAGAGGCTGTGTCGGTCAATATTGACCGCATCACTTCTCTCCTGTGAAGTAATTTCACCGGATGCATCGCCTTCTTGTAATTTCTTTGTTTTCCGCTTTAGTTGTTGTTACAAAATAATTCTAACATTCCTCTACCGGCTGGTATCACAGGTGATGCCGAGAGTTGATGGGCTTTAAGTCCCCTTGCGCAAGAAGCAAGAGGAGGTAAGGGATCCCCAGAGACGGGCATCTGAGCTCATTGATGTTTCCCAATACAATGCCATTAGATATGACATGGAAACTAAACGGAGAGAGTTGGAATAGGAGGAATTGCTGAAAGAGACTATTGCGACTGCTGAGGCGGAAAAAGCGAGGGCGGATGAGCTAGATCTGCAGGTTAAGAATCTCCAAGCCGATCTCAAGGCTTTGGAAGGAGCTGACAAGGAAAACACCGACCTTCTCTCTGAAAATAGCCGGCTTAAAAATGAACTTGCTTCTAGTCAGGCGGCTCACAAAGAAGAGCTTGACAAAGAACAACGCCGCCTGATTGCTGAGAATGAGACCGACAATGAGGAGCGCATGAAGCTCGCCTGGGGGCTCATACACCTGGACTATGACTATGAATTCTTCGACCTTAGGTACAAGTATGCCTCAAAGGTATATGATGCCAAGGTGCTTGGTCTGGACCCGCCTGCTTCCTTCGATGAGTGGGCTGGTTTGGTCGAAGAAGAATAGCAGGAGGGTGAGCAGCAGGCGCAGACTCAAGAGCTAGATCAGAAGCAAGTGCAGGAGCAGCAATGATAATAATTTTTTTTATCTTCTTTTGCAATTTTCCAATTTTTATTGCAAATTTCTTTTAAAAAGTATATATATGCTATACCCAACGTACCGGCTGATACAATAAAATGCCCCTGAAATGGCTTTGTTTACTCCAACGGTAAATAAGCAGTCGTTTCAAAGACAGCCGGATGGGTAACGATCTTTGACCTACAACATACCGGCTGATACAGTAAAATGCCCCTGAAAGGGCTGATTTTTTTACTCAAAACGGTAAACAAGCAGCCGTTTCAAAGACAGCCGGATGGGTACTATGATTTAAAGATCATTATAGACCGTCTCCATATCTTTTGGATAAAGACCGGTTGCTTTAAGCCCATATATATATATTTAAAAATCTGTTGTGTTTTTAACACAGGAGTTTTCAAATAAAGAGGAATAACATCCGTCCTTTTAAACAAATGTTCATCCGGAATACCTAACCGCCAGTAGTGCTTTGCTGCTAAAGCCGGTTGGTGTTTATACTAGGATTTTGATTTTGCCGCATGGACCACTTTTGGGTCTATGCCGGCCGAATCCCATATGCAATGGATCATTTCGAACGGCTGTTTACTTTCAATGATGTGTCAGTAAATACCGTCTGAGTTTACGATCGCCAGAGCAATGTACCACCCGGAAGGGAGCTGTTCTCTTTGGTGATTTCACCCGGATGGGTGTCACCGGATGACTGCTCTTTTTGGAGCAGTGGTTTAATAAATGTTCTTCCATCTATGTTTTTGCACTAGACGGGTACTAATACAATTAAATGAACAGAAATGATATACTTCACATTTCAATGCTAGTTACAAAAATTACAAATTCCTTAGAAGTAGTACTTTTTCAAGTTATCTACGTTCCAGGTGTGAGGTAGCTGCATTCCGTCTGGGGTTTCAGGCGGTAAATGCCATTTCTAACTTCTTCAAAAATCCGGTAGGGTTCTTCCCAATTTGGAGTTAACTTCCCTTGTTCGTTCGCCCTACCGGTTGCCTCAAGCTTACGTAGTACAAAATCTCCTACTTTAAGGGGTCTTTTGCGCACCCTTTTGTTGTAGGCTCTCGTCATTCTCAGACGGTAGATTTCATGACGTAAGGCGGCATTACCCCTTCTTTCAGGGAGAGAATCTAAAGCCAGACGCATGGCCTCCCAATTTGCTTCTTCATCATAAAGCATAATTCGAAGTGTTGGTTCATATAATTCAATAGGAAGGACAGCCTCTGTGCAGTATGCCATGAGAAATGGGGTTTCACCGGTTGACCCCTTCTCTGTCGTTCTGATTGACCAAAGAACATGAGTCAACTCTTCTGCCCAAAGGCCGCTTGCTTTTTCGATCTTTTTCTTTATTCCGCCTGAAATGAGCTTGTTAAAAGCTTCCACCTGACCGTTTGCTTGAGGACGGCCTACGGATGCAAAATAATGCAAAATTCCTTGGTCTTGCAACCAAGTTTTGAGGACAGGCGTTTCGAACTGCGGACCATTATCAAAGACCATTAACATAGGAACACCGAACCGGGTGATGACATTCTTCCAGATGAAGGAGATGACATCCTTAGTTTTGATGCCCTTTACCGCCTCTGCCTCAACCCACTTTGTGAAGTAATCAACAGCCACCAAAATGTATTTACGGCCGCCTGAGGCTGGCGTATATGGTCCCAAAATATCCATGCCCCATTTGGCAAACAAGATAGGGCTAAAGATAGCCGTTAAATCAGTAGGCGGCTGACGGATAAGCCGGCCAAATCTCTGGCACTGGTCACATCTCTTTACCAAATCTAGAGCATCTGCCTCAAGAGTTGGCCAAAAGTACCCCTACCGCCTGACTCTCTTTGCAAGAGTTCTGCCGCCTATGTGTAATCCACAAAAGCCGGCATGTAGGTCTTCTAGCACTTCCTTTCCCCTTTCTGGGGTTATACACTTGAATAACGGCTGTAGGCCCCTTTCGAAAGAGTTCACCCTTGTGCATGACGAAACTTAATACTTGTCTCTTTAGAGCAGCCGCTTCTGAGGAGACATCCGGCAGAGTGCCATCTACTAAGTAGTCCCGGATGGGGTCCATCCAAGTAGAGCTTCGATCTAAAACTCCAATGGGATCATGTTCAATGCTTTTCTTTTCCATGACTTCCCAAAAGACTAACCTAGGCGTATCGCAAGTGGCGGATGATGCCACCGCCTGATTATTCTCAGACCTTGGCACTTGACTTAGATTGAATTCATCAAATTCCCCAGTCTCTTCTTTGACTGCTTGAA